AGGACCTGCTGGATTTCTCGCAGCCTGGCTAAAGAACACAACCTGAAACCTACCTGTTCATTTCTGGATTGCTGGTTGAAATGATCTGGTTATCACTGTAAGGCTACTAAAGAATCAACAGGTAACACCATCCAAACAACACCTTTATCCTGTGTCCCTTTTTTCCGCCAACAAGGCTCAGTAGCGAGTTTAAAAACAAATCATAAACCCACCCAGACAATTAATCCACGGTCCAGCTCTTCATTTTACACAGCCGCTTCCACACCTCTGATCTCGTTTTCCCCAGCCCCAACATAGTTTCTTACAATCAGCAACTATTTTAGAAAATACTTTTTTTTCTTTTTCTTGGTTTTGCAAGAAGTGCTACACAGACACACCTTCGTATAGTATAGAACTAAGTCACATGAAGAAAGACGAAATCAGATTTGATGAATCAAGTAGACTCAGGGAGAGGGCCAAAAAGAAGACTGGACAGGAAGGTTTTTTTTTTTAAGGGGGAGGAGGCTTAGACATTAAGGAAGTGTACGTATATACAACTCACACACACTCACACACCCTCTCAACTCCCCTGATGTTATGCCATTACTCCAAACACTCCCAAAAGATTGACATACATTGCAATGTGCTTGCTATTTTTTTCCTTCTTTTTTTAACAAAGAGAACCAAACAAACCATCACAGTTTCCATGAGCTGAAGTACCAAAGAGAAGCCTTTTTGGGGGGAGATGCGGTGGTGGTGGTGGTGGTGGTCACGGAATGACCCCTCTGAAGCACTCACGCAAAAGGAGAACCGTGTTCAAAATTCATGCTGCAGAACATTCAGATTTTCAGGGAGCTCCACCTCCGACACCTCTGATGGGAACACCTCTTTGCCCCCAAAAAGGAGAAATGCTTTTCGAAAGAGGGCGGGAGGGAGAGAAGGCACTGTCTGAGGCACGACCAGCGCGAGGAGGGCCACTCGGCTCAGTAAGGGCGCCTGGGCCCTCGCGTAGCCTGCGGGTGGCGGGGCCGAGACTCTCAAGGACCACCTTTTCGCTTCTCGTCCTCAGGAGCTGCATACTGCGATGGCTTTCGCCAAGAAGACAGCAAACAGGGAGGAGATGGGATTCCACTTAGAGGATCAGAGAAAGGGAAGAAACCGGGAGCCAGCTGGCCCAGCTATGCAAGTGGAAACCTGTTCTCCAAGGCGGGCAGGACCAGAAACACTTAGCGTGTCACAGGGAGGGCAGGAGTGGCCGGAACAGACTTCCACTGTGACATGGATTCTTTTGTGCATCGGCGTAAAATACTTCCCGTGCCACAAAAATCAAGGAAGCCCTTGCGCTTTCCACAATTATTGTTTCTGGTGCTGTGTATTACATAACGTACACATGGAAAAAGCCAGGAGGTGCAAGGCGTGAAACAGACACACAAACAAAAGACCCTGGGTGTGTGTGTGTTCCCTCCAAAAGAAGCAAGACGCGGTGCCCCCTCTCCGCCCTCCCACCCCACTCTGGGACGGCTGAGGAAGGCCAGGGCCGGTGTGCTGAGAAGCAGTGAAGGACAAACGCAACAGCCTTGTCCAAAAGCACAACAGAACAAACCGGAGGAGGGGATCCTGTCCTCCCGCCAGTGCCTGAAACACTTTGCATTAAAATGTGCAGGAAAAGGCCACGGGGTGGAGACGGTGGTGAGGGGGTGGAATTTAATTATTTTGACAGAAACGCACACACACACACACACATAAAAAAACATGCATGGGGGCAGAGGAAGGGAGAGAACAGGAAAGGACGGGGGACGACACACCTGGATTGCCTTTGAAAAGGGAGATTCAAAGTGGAGGCTCAGAAACGCACTGTTTCTTGGCTCTGCCGCAGAAAGAAAAACCTCTCTCTTCCCCCCAACTCCCTCCTGCCCCCCACCCTGTCTCACCTGGACCCTTAAAACATGTGTGAGGTTGTGGGGAGAAAGTGTTCAGAGAATGTGAAGAGGTATAATACTGAAATAAAAGATCTGGAGGAGGAAGGAGAGAATGAGAGAGGGGCGGGAGCACAATGTAGATTCTTTTTCTCCTTTTTTCTTCTTCTCCTTGTCCCGTCCACAGATCGAAGGGTCCATCCTTGCTCGTGGCTGAGAAAAGGAAATCTCCAGAGTTTTCCACATGATCGATCCTTCACACTTCACGTGACGAATGCTTCTGCTCGTTGAAGAGTTCCTCTTTCCCTCCCCACCCCACAGCAACCGACTGCTGCCTCCGCCACCGTAGTATCTAAAAGAATCTGGTTAAAAGCCGTGCCTGGCTCCCAGCCGGCGCTCCTCGTCCGACGGGGCAGGAGGAAGAGGAGGAGGAGGAAGAGGAGGACGACAAGAGGGGAGTCAGCCCTGCTGGGTTCTTCCATCTCCCACCCGGGCAGGTTTCACGTCCTCGGCTGGGCTCGGGGAGACCGGGAGGAAGCCGCCCCAGCGGGCAGTCACATGATGCCATTGGTGAGGTACTGGAAGCCGTCGTAGAGTTTGGTGGTGATGGAGCGCATGCTGCCGTCCACCATCTGCTCGATCAGCATCTGGAGCTGCTCCTCCGTCATGTTCATGTGGAAGCGCTCCTTCAGGTTCCGGATGGTGCTGGAGCCATGGAAGCAGGGCAGCTGAGAGCCTGGAGGCACAAGGAGACCGAAAGCCCATCAGGCCGAAGGGGCTCCGCAAGGCCCGGCCGGCGCTGGGCTGACACACACGCAAAGGGAGGGAGGGAGGGAGGGCTAAGATGGGGTCCCACCCTTCGAAACCATGCTCAAGACAGAAGAGCTCTGGAGATCTTAAGCGGCTCCTTTCAGAAACCCATCGCTCGCGGGAGCCCCCGTGCACAGGCCGGTGGCCATCGCTCACAGACGGTGGTGCCACACGCTCCCCGATCTGCGAAGGGGGAAAGGAGTCCTTGGCCGAGAACGAATGGAGAAAGCCTTGGAAACCAAAAGCGTCCCTGGGCTGGGGTAGTGGATTCTGGGCCTGCCCCTCCCATCCGAACAAGATGACGACGCTCCGCTAGCGTTTCCCAAAACCAGCATTTCTCCATCCTCCTCTTCTGTGGGCAGCCCTGTGTTGGAAGCCTCTGCCTGCCCAGCTCTCCCAAGGGGTCCTTCCTGGGTCCCCGAAACCCTCCTGGGGTGCTGCCCCCAGGGGGGTATCCCACCCTTTGAACAGAACCCTCTGAGAAGGATGCCAGGCAATGCCAGATGCAGACGGGAGGGTGGGGGGAACGAACACATCAATGGTTACTTCGCTACAGTGGCTAGCTACTTTTAACCCTCTCCCTTCAGGGCCTGCGCCCTGGGACCAAGCACCCAATGCTGGAGGATAGGTGCTTTTTTTCCCCCTGGGGTAGGTGGGGGGTAGCATCCCTTTCAGGCCAGAGCTTGTGAATCTCTAGAAGCCAGGTTGGGCCCCCAAGGATAAAACCAGAGACTAGCAAAACAAGCTTCTTAAGGACTAGTAACTTATCGGATCTCTTATGGACTAGTAACTTAGCTGCGCTTGACACTCACAGATGACCTGCGCTATCGTAGGAACCTGACTCTCTTGCGTTTCTCCCAAGCACCACTGGCAACCTGGAGGACAAACTGATACAAGGAGTCGTTATTTTAACTCTCTTCTCTAAGCTGGCGTCATGAGTGTACTGGGGCTGCTTTAGGAGGCCTGCAGGTGATGCAGGGAAAAATACGGATTAAAGTCAAACCTAGGCGGGAGGTGTTAGGGTAGTCTAAATCAGTGTGTGAAAAGGAAGTGGCTGAGTTTGGTCTCAAGAGGGTTCTAGGGATCCATTTCAAATCGCAATCCTGAGCATTCACACAGCCACCACGCCTCTCCAACATTGAGAGTCCAGAACAGCCAGCCGTGGGATTGACGTGGAACCCCGGAAGGAGCAAAGATGCCCCCTGGTACCTTGTTGCATGATCTCCACTATCTGCACGACCTTATCCATGTGCTTCCGAGCAGCAATGAGGCCCTGGAGCATCAGCATCTTGTAGTAATTGAACATGTCCCCATCCAGGCCACCCATAACCTTAAGGAAAGATGCACAGGGAGGGGAGAGAGAGAGAGAGAGAGGGATACACATCAACAATAAGGACAGAAGAATGAGAGATTATGTTCCTCTGTTTGGTTGTCATTGAAAAATCGTGTCACTGCCCTCTGTGAAAGATTCGGTTCTTTCCCTGACTTACGTCAACAAACTCCGTGGTCAACTTGAAGGCTGACGTCTCAAAGCCGAGGTTCCGGGGGGAGCTGGAGAGGATGAACCCGAAATCTATGTGGATGATGTGCCCCTCCGCGTCCAGCAGGATATTGCCATTGTGTCTTATTTTGGGGGGAGGGGAGAAGAAAAGGGGGAAACAAGCTGACCATCGGTTGCCATGCCTTTTGGAAGGCTCTCTCATTTTCTAAACTCATTCGTATTTTTTATTTTACACACGCACACCCTCGGGTAGACAAACCCAAGAAAGCCATCTCGATCCAGCACGGCGCAAGGGTGGGGTTTCCCTGGTTCTGTGCGGGAGGAGGGGCAGGAGACCGTCCCCATTCCAGCCCCTTCTGCCGTCCACCCCCTCCCTCCAAGGTCCTCCCCCATTCCATCTCCTGGTTCCCAGAAACATCCCACCCACACAGATGTCAGTGACAGACATCCGTTGCCCTCTGTCAGGTATAAAAAGCAACCTTTGCTGCTTTCCAAAATCTCTCTCCAATCCGAAGCCGAGAGGGATTTATTGTGCTGCTCAGCCTTTTGGAAAAATCACTTCAGCAGAACACACATCTGCTGTAAAACAAACGACCCAGCCATGAATACACAGGGTGTGCTTTAAGAGGCCACAGAGAGTAAATTCATCGACCAAGGTTGAAGTCCCGTGTATCTAGGCAAATCTACGATTCGGCGTGCAACAAGCAATGTCTGTGGAGGAATCTGAGCGTAACTGCCCAACAGGATTTGAGACACAAGTGTGCCAAGAAGCCTCTTATCTCATGTGAAACCACTGAATACAGACTGAAATTGATGAATGTGCCCCAATCCAGAGAGCTTCCCCTCAAGCCTGCTCTTGAGCCAGCCCAGTTGGCACATGCTAGAACAGACGAATAACTCTGCTTGCCTTCTGGGAAGGAACTACAGAGTCAGCGACACCCTCTCCCTCCAAGGGGTGAGCCTGACCTCCCTCCTTCCACAGCTGCTCACCGGTCTTTGACCTGGAGGAGGTAGCAGACCAGGCAGTAGCCGGCGCAGCTCTGCACAAAGTTGCGCTGGGCCGTCAGGAATGCCTCCGTGGTGTAGTTGCCATGCTCCTGGAGGAAGTAGTCGAGGAGCGAGAGCTGGGACTGCTTCTTCACTTGGTGGATGGAGACAGCGTTGACCACCGGCTCTATCATGCCGCTGTCGGCCGAGATGACCAGGATTTTGTACGGCTTGATCCACAGGGGGACCCGCTCCTGCTCCCAGATGGACTGGAAGGGAACAAGGAGGTGGGGGTGGGGGAGAAAGGGAGGAAAGGGGTGGGGGGAGAAAGGGAGGCATGCTTGCTTTGCAACAGAAGCCAGGCTGAGCAACACACGAGCACTGAATCCGGGCAGGTTTTGTTTTTGTTTTTTTAACAGGAGGAAAGAAATCACTCCACTGCCAAAAGGCTGGTTTCCAACCTAGACTGCTTTAAAGGGGACTTTGATTACTCTGGAGATGGGCACCAGCCACGGTTGCGAGTCCATGAGGTGGCTAGGGATCCCCCTCAGCACCAGGGGCACTGGGAGTCTGCATCTCAGTGGCTCCTGGGGAAGGAGGCGCCCTCCCTTTAAGCGGCAGGCCTAACCTTCCCCACCACCACCACCCCTGAGTGGACGCGGGTGCATCCACTGAGCCTGAGGAGCTCCGGAATCCCAGCACAGCCAGGCGTCACCCTCTCCTCCCCTTACCTGCAGCTGCTTGAGGACCTGAAAAGCCAGCAGTTCCTGACGGAGATCGTCGCCGCATTTCACAATCACAGAAAGAAGCCGCCAGTTGGGGAGGTGGCCGTAGGGAGAGCCCTCACGAATCCGCCTGTGGAGAAGCAGCCGAGGGAGAATGGGGGCAGAAAAGGAGAGAAAGAGCAAGAGAGGAGTCTGGGTGACCTCCACGCCTCCGGTTCGACCAAGGGATTCTTCAAAAGGGAGCCTTTTATACTGGGTTGCACTCCTACTTTTAATGTGCTTCTTACTGTGAGTTTTAATATGATCCTTGTTTAGGATCATATTAAAATATGGTAAAATTTATTATTTGGCTTTTAACGTTGTTTCTTTGAATACTGTTATGCCGCCTTGGAACCTTTAGGAGAAAGGTGGTATATAAATATTTTAAAATAAATCTTTCTCTCTCTCTCCAGGCACGCCTCGCTCTCTAATTCCGTTTCACACTCACTCATCAGTGGCTTGGGCAGCCTCAGCGCCATCTCTTTACCTGACTTTTTCCTGCCATGGTTCCTTCAGGGCAACGGCAGACGGATCCTCAGGGTCCCTCTTGAATGACGTGGGAGTGTGGGCCAGTTGCTCAGAGAGGCGTCGCCTGCAGAAAGTGGCCAGGGTGCGAGGCACAGGGTCAAGGCACCGACCGGGTCGTGGATCTTGGCTGCCTTTGAGGATACAGGAAGCCTGTCCCCCCCAACCTCTGAGCCCTTCAGAGGTTTGCAACCACAATTCCCACCTAGCCCTCCCCCAACACGGTGCATGTTGAACTCTGAGACCTGGGGAGGGCCATCCGGTTGTTTTGGGAAGGTTATGAAAGTAAAAGGCGGCGTCTGTCAGGGGAAGGAGAGACAGGGACCTTATCAGGAGCAGCACAGAAAACCTAGCGAGTGGCTGGGATCCCTTGAAGGCCAAGTCACAGGGCAACCCTGTGACTGTGACAAATCATGGTGTATCTTTCCCCGTGGTGGTTTGGTGGTTTGTAAAAGGTGGGCAGGCCTAAAGGAAGCCCCAGCGGAGGACAGGAAGTGGACATCCTCCTTTCCAGGAGGGGAAGAGGTTGCAGCCGGAACACTCCTTCACCTGATATCTCCAGCAGCGATAAAGACAGGCTCTTTGCTCTCTTGGCTGGTGATGCTGTCCACCGAGAACTGGGAGATGTTGTCGCAGCTGTTGGTGTGCATCTCGGGAAGCTGGAAGAGAGAGGCGGGAGTCCAGGCGAGGTGGGGAGAGAAGAAAAAAGCGTTTAATGGAACTTCTCTGCTTCTGGTTTGATAGGTCACTCTTGAAAGAACAGGCCTGCCTCAAGGTCCAAAGCCACCTCGTGATCCTGTACTACGGATCCAATCATCTGCGACCACTGGTCGTGCTGTTGGGAGTGGACAGGAGGTGCAGGGTTGGAACGGGGCGGCCTGGGGAGGTCCAAGCCATTTAGCCATTCCGGACCAACAAGAGATACCAGCGAGGGCAAAAAGGCAGGGACGTCGGCTCCAGCGACGCTCGTGTTGACAAGCCAGTGACAGAACCATTACAGAGACCATTAATCTGATAGCCTTAAACAGCCAGCAAGGTTTTTACATCATGCATTTGTTAAAGGATAAAAAAATAATCAAATATCATTTAAGGTTACGGAAAACAGCCCTAACGAAGTCAGGCAATGAGAACTGTGTACCGGTGCCCAACCATCCTGTCGCTGTTTTAACCATTAAAATTTTTAAGAAAATCAAACCATTACTGAAAATCTCAGAAATGTGAAGGGGTAAAAAAAAAAGGAATTCTTGACCCATGATTTCCAAGTCCTGCCGTGCCTCAGGCTAACAAGGCAGGGGACCTCCCCCAACCCCCGAATTCTTGACCCATGATTTCCAAGTCCTGTTGTGCCTCAGGCTAAGAAGGCAGGGGACCTCCCCCAACACCCAACACCCCTCCAGCCATACTGGAGTTTCCCATTTCCTCCGACTCTCATATTTGAGGACTGGGCTGTCAAGTCTCTCCA